CCTAAAAGTAATTTAAATAAAATCATCAATAAAATAAATAAGAATGTCTGCAACACAAATAATAAATTTCATAAAGAAATTCTAATATGAAGAGATTCAAAATAATGTATTAAATAGAACTTCACATAACAATCTTCACATTAACAGGCATTTTATACATGGACGTACACAATGTAATCTCGATATTGCAAGCATTTACTTAATAATGAATAAATGTTAAAACTCTCAAAATGGCTCATTAATGAGATATCCCATAATGGCTTATTAACGACAGTATGTAGTTACATCACAATTATGTAACTGCATACTGTCAATATATCACAATTATGATATTTCTTTTATCAATCAAGTTATATTTCAATAATTTAAGTTAAACTCTTTGGAATTTAACTGCCATATTCATAGCATACTAAAGATTTGCCTGTTTAAGGTTGTTTTTTTCTTCTCCTAAATTGTAAGAATGGTAGTGCTAAAAATATAATTTATTTGAAAAGTTTTAACCAAACAACTAATTATTAAATTACACTCTCAAAATTCAAATTGAGCTAGTAAAATTTGTAAAGAAAAAATATTGTTAAGTTTTTGTCTAAAATCAAAAATATAGCATGCCTTTCACCTATTCTGATTGGTTGAAAGAATGAATTATATTATTCAAATAATATAGTTAAATGGAGAATACAATAATCCTTAATTCATTATTATTAAATTAAGTCTGATTAAATTAAAATCTGTAATTCAAAGGGAAAAAATTTCATCTCGGGCTGTATTTTATTATTGGCACAGAATTAAGACAACTAATATACTTTAGCATGACCTTACCAAAGTGTCTGAAACAAATATGTGATGAAATAAACATGTTTCATAATTATTAATAACTCTAAATGCCATATGATGTAACTTGAATGTTTCCAGAAATGGAAATACAAATTCAGTGCATAATACCATTAAATTAATATCAGACACAAACAATTTTCTAATTGAAAAGCTCAGTGGATGAGGCTTTTAACCCTTTCGCGACGCAAAGCGCGAAAGCGCGCTTACCGCTGAGGCCGGCAGTCTCTCTAGCGTGTGCCTCCCCAGGGCCGGAGAGTTTTTTGATGTTAAGCCTAATTCCATGAACTGGCAGAGGAGGATTTATTACAAATACAATAACGTGAGTCGGGACCATCTTCGGTGTGTTTTCTAATATTCTTTGCACGCAACATCAAGATTGATTCTAATTCTTTTCTTTCAGCTTCCTTGAAATTAGCAACCTATAAAGGAGGAGAAAACTAACAAATCTAACTTTTCAGTAACATCTAATTTATATTGTCCTCAAATTTTATTAGACTTTAAAATTAGCAATAATTAATTATGAAATTTAATTAAACTGAAACTAAACTCTATTTAGAAAACATGGAACAGATGTCAATATTTAAAAATGAAAAATTAGGAAGAATTTTTGGTTGATAAATTATGCGATTAAAATGAAGTGGTACTTAAACTAGAAAATTTCACATAAAATTAAATATATAGAAATATTAATTGTAATGTAGGTTGCCCATCTTCATGAGATATATTTCTATAAATACATTTATTATTTTAAAATTCATATAAAAATTTGCAAATAAAATATATACATCTTTTAAAAGCATATTTGTTTTTTTAATAGTAATAATATCAAAATTATAAATGATTTAAACACATGTAGTAGTATATTCTAATCTACACTTTTCTCTTTGCAATTTAAAAAAAAAATATTTTTTAATTTCATTTTTTAGTTGATTTTTAATATTTTGAAAAACTTGAAAGATACTTAAATTAAAGTGGTTAATAAGATAAAGCAAAAATTAGGAAGTCTGAAAAGGAGAATAACACAAAAATGACATCATAGGCGAAGCAAATAAATAAAATAATAAACATAAACAATTATCTAAATACTTCACATTTATTATAGTACTAAAATTTTAAAAGCTCTATCTCTTTCAATTGATTAAAAATCGTATCAAAACATTAGATAATAAACATTAAAATGAAATTTAAATGCTTTTTAAATGAGCAAAATCTATAGCTGTACTTACAAATGCTGATGTATCTCTGGATTCTTCTAACCTTATATCCAAACTCACAGAATCTTCACATATACTATCTTCATTTTCTTTAGCTCTTTTCTTTTTACCTTTTGATGTGAGAGGGGTACCAATATCTTTTCTTGGAGAAAGCACCTAAAAGCAAATTTATTGAAAAATGTACTATTGTTTAGGGTTGCTTTGAAACCATTTTGTTACTTTAAAGATTTCTTTTGGAAAATTAAGTGCAAAAAATCTATTTTTTTCTAATATTAGTTGAACTACATGTGTTTTAAAATCAATTATTTTAGCTTTGTTACTATTCATAATAATCATAACTAATGAATGCAATTATGTGTGACATCGATTTAAATGATCCAATCAAAAATTGTTGGATTTTTTTTAAAAAATTGCTAAGTTTAAAATTATTTTCTTTCATATACATTTAAAATAAACATTTTTAATTTCAGATAAAATTATGAGACACACTGCTTAACACTCTCATCCAAAACAGAAACATATAAACAATGTCGGATTTATGATTTGGATTCTACATTTTTTTAAATAATTAGTATTTTTTAGTTTACAGGGATGAGAGTAGTCAGAGAGTAAAAAAGAGGAAATCCAAGAATATATATAGATATATATATATAAAAATAGCACTTTTTTGTCAAATTTTTGTTTAAACTTGTAATACATATAAATCCCGAATGAGGCTTTTAAATCAATCAAACATTATTCTACATTTATTCTATCAGACATTTTTCTCACTGTAAAACTTTTTCTGTCTGACCAAGTCGAAAATGTTCTCATAAAGAAAATAACTTTTAGTGCTAGTACTGTTAAATGCATGATTTTATTAAATTCAGGTTGAAATTTAACTATCAACAGTGATTTTTATGGATTTTTAAATTCGGATAGAATTTTAAGCCCAAATTTTCACAATAGCAAAATAGTTTTTAAATATATGGGGAGAAATATATAAACCTTTACCAGACATAAATGGTCTTTATTTGACGTGACAATTTTTTGAAATATTTTCTTACTTTACCATATTTTGTGTGAATTTTTTAATATAATTTTTAATTTTCACAAATTATGTCTATATTTTCACAAAATAGGTACCTCTTAAAAAACCCTAGACAGACCCCTGACAACAGAATTAGTCAAATAATAAATGTGTAAAGTTTCATCAAAGAGTATTAAATGTTTTTTCAAAAGAATAGTACTTTATTTTTGATTCACTCAAATTGTAAACTTAATTACTTTTATTACTTGGGATGTCATGTCTAAGCAAAGAACACAATTTCAATTAAAATTTATTTTATTTCCCAAAAAACTTCTAAAAAATTTCATCAATGCTATATGATATTCACCATACATCTTCAAAGAATAGAACATAATTCAAATCTCGGACTAAATTGGACATTAAATAATGCTCAATTTTCAACACTTACATTTTCTAATATCATCCATTTTTAAGTCTTTTAACTGGCCGAATGGCCCTTGAGCCATACTTTGCAGTTGTGGTTGCAGGTCTGGATTGTTTGCTGCTTTTCGTATTTCGTCATTTATTATATTTTCAGATCTAGCTTTCTTCTCTTGTTCTGAAATATGTTGTGAAATTTTTGACAATGCATCATAAGCAGCAGCCACCTCATCAATTTTCAGTATCTGTTTTGCTCGATCCTGCAAATTAAAGAAAAATAAATAAGGTGAGAGGGTTTAGGAAACAAACTACATTTTAACACAAATTAATCAAATTTATTTCAAAAAATAATTTTAATTTTGTAATATTACCGAGCTTAACAACAATATTCTTTAAAAAAAAATTCTTTCCAATATTAACTATCTAACTTATAAATTTTAGCATCAATCTTTACATTTTATACAACCAAGTGACAAATCAAATGAAAAAAAAAAAATTACATTCTAACTTTTTTTTTTATCAAATACCATTGTTTTATTGGCATTTTAAAATTTAAAGCATAGAGAAAAGTAAATTCAAGTAAATTTAGTGTAAGCCATTTAGTTTCAAGTGCAGAAAATGTTTTTAAATGTCCCAGGATGGAGTCCTATTGTCTGGGAAGTAAAGCCAAATGGTACACCATCATGCAGTAGGTCACAAAATTCTGGAGTCTTTAACTCAACGGCTCCTTTGGCCAACAACTGGCTGTTTTCAAGAATACTTTACTAATTTAAGCCAAATGTAGACACAAAAGGGAGTTATTCTACCACTGTCAAATGTAAATAGCAAAATTATATAAATCTTTAATTTAAAATGGCACACAGTGTAAGATTTACAAGAGAACGAAATTGTCAAGCAAAATCTTTTTTCTTAATTAATTATAATTAAAACCATTGATAAAACTTAATTAAAATCATCGGTAGTTAAAATTTAAATAAAAAATAATACTGAAAAATGGGCATAGGATTATTTTATTTCCTTCAAACATATCAATTGTTGAGGATCGTTTTCCATATGCATTTTTCTGTTAAATTAAACACCTGATTACAGCCCACCAGTTGTTTTGGGCAATATGAATACAAAGCCAGGGATAAAGTCTATATTCACATGACCACATTTTGAATTTCTTATCTTCATTCATTGAAAACAAAAATTCCAGTCTGTTTAGTAATAAAATTCTTTCCAAATAGAAAAAAATATTAATTTTTCCACTTTCTGTCGTCTACTACGAAGGGGAAAAAAACTGTTTTAAAAGCAAAAAATTTGACATTTTTAAATAAAATATTTTGGCTCCACTTAAATTTATTTTTATACATAGAATTAAGTGGTACACACCATTAAGTGTTAATGACTTTGAAGTAATATATCATTTACACAACAACAATATACTGATAGCTGTATTGAAATTCTAATATGACAAAAATGAAGTTAATTTTCACTACAACTAAATATTTAAGACTGAAGTGTTGAATAAAAAATAATCAATGGTAAAAGCAAAACAATGCAAATAACGCATAAATAATGACACAAAATGCATTTTTCACATTGTTTAGCTTGATTCATGGTCAAAGTAAGATATAAACATAAAGTATCTGAGCACACAATCCAAAAGTATCTGCAAGCTCATAATATTTTTAACAATAGAATAATTTTATTAAACGTATGAAATCAGTTAACTATTTAATATTTCTATTTATTCATGACAAAAAAATATCTACATGTTAATAGTTATGCATAAATAGGAAATTTAAGAATTACATTCATATAAAGTAATTATCATATCAAGTAATAATAGTAATTTCGATCAAAACAAAATTTCAATAAAAGATTTCCTACTACTTTTTCATTGTAAAACGATAGATGAGATGAGTTGAGTTGCAAAAACTAGCTGATTGCTAACAAAGTAACAGTTATATCTTTTCTCTTTGGGAGCAGTGTGCAGTGCATACAACTAAACACTGACTTTCTTCTACTTTGCCTACATCATGATTACATCGTCTGCTTAGTATTTTCGCCCCCTCCTACTGCAAACTTTTATTCTTTGCATGTAAGGATGCTTTTTTTAATATTACAATAAATATTTAAAAAAGTATCTGCAAAATTTAAGAATCACCACCAATGTATCCTTGCAATGTATCATGGCGTGCATCGATATTATCTAACTATGTTCATGGGTAGTACAAAGTGCACACTATCTTTTAATTTAGATAATCAATGTGTGTGTCTATATTATCTAACTATGTTCATGGGT